GTGACCTCAGACAGCTGACCCATCTTTGATCTTACGTGGACAGGAATTTCTCCAGGAGAAGCATCTGTTCCATGGGGATGTGGCAGCCAGGAACGTCCTGATCCAGTGCGATCTCACCGCTAAGCTCTGTGGCCTGGGCCTGGCTTATGAGCTCCACTCCCGAGGGGCCATCTCCTCTACTGGCTCGGTACCTCTCAAGTGGCTCGCCCCGGAGCGGCTTCTGCTGAGAGCAGCCAGCATCAAAGGAGACGTGTACGGTTTGTTCCTGCCCTCTGGGTTTCTTCCTCTCTTGATCTGGGTGTCCTCCAATCCCTGAACACACCTGGGTCTGTTGTCAGTTCTGTCTACACATGCCATCTCTACTCGGAAGTCAGACAAGTGCGCAAGCAAAAATGTGCGTTACGTGCCAGAGCATCTGGCTGCAGTCCTTGTCAGTGCGCTTTGAAGTATTCCTTCTGTATTAGAGCAGAAGCTCTAAGTGGGAGGGAAAAAAGAAAAACGAAAAGATTATTCAAGCCAGTATCTGAGAACTTAACCTCCGAGTTTGTTTTATCTGAAAAAGGCAGGTCTGCTTCATCAAAACTTAAACTAGAAATTGTTAAACTAAACACACACACACACATATATGTATATACTCAATTTACTTTAATTTAAAACAGATAAATGGGTATTTATCAATTGTTTGGAGGAGGGCCAGGGGGATAGACCTGCTATGCTAAATGAAGTTACATTTTGTGTTTCTTGTAGAAATAGCATGCAAAATAAATTATTTTTGAATTTCAGTTTGGGGTGATTCTGGGTGAGAAACTGGAAAACAACTGGGGTGTAATTTGACTGTAGACATTTATTGTTAATCTTTTCCCCGGTTTTCTACAGTCGTCTCAGTCACACCATTTGACAGCATTTTCTTTTTGCAGCTTAGTTTTATAGAATTTTTTCAAAGCATTCAAGCTAGTTTCCAGGGAGCTAATACTTTTCAGCATTTATATTTAATCAGCTTATGTGGTATTTAATTGATTACATGATTACAGTTACACGTATGATTGGCATAAACAGGATTGTAAAGAATCACAATTGACTTTTGGTAACCACGACACTCAGCTGCTTGGAGAAGCACATAGACGTAATGCAGAGTATCTCACTTAATCTGTTACATAA